CTGGTAAACTTCAACTTGTTCATGACAAAGAACATGATTTGGAAGCTGACTGTTCTTGCTGGTCTCAGAAGGACTGAAGTTGGCTTGATGGACTGGGCTTGTCATCACCTGCCAATAGTCTGTGTTCAAGGAACAGAGCCTGTTTGCACAGCGCTGTGGTGGCCTCCCAACGCCATTCTCCCCGTCCTCTCACACATGGAGAGCCCATGACCACATTGTTAAATGGTTGAGAAAGATCAAAAGAAAAATAACACTTCATGAATAGTACATGACATTCAAAATTCAGTGTCTATAAATAAAGTTGTCTTGGAACGCAGCCACACTCATTCATTTACACGTTATCTCTGGCCGCTTCTGCACCACATGACGAGCTGAGTAGTTGTCATAGAGACCAAACGGCCTGCAAAGCCTAAACTATTTACTGTCTAGATCTTTTAGTGAAAAAGTTTGCTGGACCCAACCCCCTCACCCCCCAGAATGGAAAGCCAATCACTTTCCCATCACCATGTGACCCAGTTCCAACCAATGAGATGTCAGGAAAGTTTGGAAAAGGGATTCTGGGAAAGAGTGTGATCCTTAATAAAGTAGAGGGGAAGAGTGGACTCCTTTCCACTTCCTGCCTTCAATACAGATGTGACTTCCGAAGCTTGGGAGACATTTTTTTCCCCACCATGATGAAATAAGCATGAGGTTGCCAGCGTTTCTACTGGATATACTACTACTTCACTGGTTGAAGATCTAATGCTTTCTTCAGTCTCTGGAGTTAGAACTGATTGGAAGCAGTCTATTGTTTTTCTGAAACTAGTCTCAACAATGGTCACTGGGGAAAGAATAATTTGGACAGATGCTTCCCAAGGGAAATGCTCTGTTTCTTTAGGAATTTGATCGTGGTCATGTAACCCCAGACTCCAACTGAGGAGAGTTCAATGTCAGCCCAGGTTAAATCTGCCAAGGTCCTTGGAGTGGGAAGGATATACGAACACACTGAAGAAGCAGTGTCCAAGGTTAAATGTGCTCATTTAACAGTGGCAAAGAGGTAAATGCATCGGTGACCACTCCTTCCTACTATTCAGTGTATCTTCTATATAGGAGAAATAACTTTATTATTTTAAGTGAATACTCAGCTGAAATTTGACATTCTTATATTCAATCCTCACTTTTATTACTTTATGTGACAAGTTAGATCATGAAGTCTCTAACTAACATAGCTATTCCACCTGTGGTCCTTTTGGGGGGGAAAAAGTATAAATAAATAACATTTAAATTTACATATTTTTTTTAACAGGTAAAAGGCAGAATGAAACAAAATAAAAACTAGTAAATGCTATGAAAAGCTGAGGGCATTTTGTAACATTTCACACCTCTAAGCGTATCGTGGGTTCAGGCCCCGGGAGGACAGCTCACAGGCCTGGCACCTTGGTTCTTCTCACCACTGCGCGACCAAAATCATTCAGTTGACTGGGAAGGCATTCAGAAGGACCGGGCCCTGAGCATCGCCCTCCGCGCCGCATCCTGGCTTCTTGTGCCAAGAGGCACAAACACACCTCACAGCCCGGGCCTCAGCCCCTCCACGAGTATCTCTGAATGACTAGAAGATGCAGGAAATTCCAACTGAATCTGGTAATCACAAACAAAGCTGAGAGTAATTCTTCAGTGGATTCTTGCCAAACAACTCTGGCAGAGAAATAGTCCTGATGGAACTCAGTGAATTAGCCGAGAAGACACATATAGAACCCAGACAGAGGCTCAGGCTGAAGTGATTGCATGCCAGTTTCACAAACACCGGCGCCCAGACAAGGAGAAATCACAGGCAGGATGGAAGAGGAATTTCTCCTTTGAAATAAGGGCCCTGGGGCAGTTCCTAAGCCTATCAAGATGTGGAAAGGGAAATAACCTCTGCAATCAAGTCAGGCCCAAAGGATGTGGTATCAGTGGCAACGGTCTCTTATCAATGGCATTTTCTCCGGCTGCAGGGGACCCTCAGAGGCACACTGCTTCCATGAGCCCTGCCACCTAAACACCTACACTCAGCGATTGTAGCCAAATCATCCTGATGGTTTTTTTCATGGAACTCTCAATGGTAGCAGTGCAAATATACAGTTGCAAACATATAAAGTTCTAAAGCCTATGCTGATTGGTACGGGCACAGCTTTACTATTCTGTGTTCACGTGACTATTTCATCTTTGGACTAGTTGCTATAATATCATCTGTCAACCTGGCACAGTGTTGGGGCGGGGACGGGGGGGGGGGAGGCAACGGGCTTTCAGGGTCTCCCATAAGATTTTCAAACAGTAGTCAGTGTTATCAATACCAGCCTGGTAAGACTAAGAAAGCCTGAACTTCTAGTGCAGGAACTGTGCCTTCGGATTACCAGAACCAAGGACAAGAAACGGACGCGCCTTCCTTCAGAGAGGCACCACCTCTGAGGTAGCTTTGCACTCAGGAAGCATCAGCTGAGTTTCTGCCTCATCGCTGACGTGAAGGCCCTGGGGACAAGGACACACCTTGAGATGGAATGGGAGAGGTCTGTTCAGATGTAAGAGGCACTGCTGTCCCTCCTCCTCAGTAACCCCTCCTCTTTGCTTCCTTTTCAATTCTTTCTCACTTTCATCGTCCTTGACTTGACCTTTGACAGGAAATAAGTTTCTCAATTGCTCCTGGCAATTCAACTCTCCCCTTCTCTTGCTTTGATTTTTTTTTTCTTTCCTGGGTTATGGACAAAACCAAAGCTAATATGGAGAGAAAAAAATGAAATAATGGGAAAAGGTAGAAGAGGGGAGGCGTGTGGGTGGTGTCTGATCCGAGCTTCTCCCGGCTGGGGAGGTCACCCGCCCTTTGGAGCTGAGGGCTTTTGGAAGGGGAGGGCGGCTGCTTTGAAAAAGCAAAGTGTGTTGCTTCCTGAAGAAACACTGTCGAGTGTCACCATGTCGTTGCCTGTGATTCCTTGTAATAATAATGGCACTAAGTCCGATCAACTATATACTGCTCAAAATATAAATCGAATTCATGTGTAAAAGTATACCTAGTTCCCAAATAAATTATACTGCTCTTATTCCCAGTGATTTAAAATTTCCTTTGTGTATTATTTCAAGAAGAGTAATGGATATACCTCTCTCTCTAAAATGTATAAACCCTTCTGCAAATCCCAGTAAAATTGTTTAATATGACTGAACATTCTATATTCATGGTCTCAGTATTATTTTAAAGTTAAGTGAATTTGAAATGCTATGATCCTGCTCCTATACATTCCCCCAATCTAAGATAGATAATAGCATTCCTTCATTCCAGCACACACATAAAATGTCAATGCTGGGTCAAACTAAAGATCAAATTTTCTATCCACCTAGAATTTTTAAAGATTGGGGAACCAGAGAAGGCAGGAAAGAAACAGCAGACATTTTTTCTTTTATTTGGAACATACAGCGCTCATAGAGGAAGTATTTTTTAAATACTTAGAAACACACACGTACATGTACACATGTGAGAAATAAAATAAACTTTAAAATCAGTTTGGAGAAATGACCTTTCCCCAGAGAATGCTCCATATAGTAAGAGCTACCAAAAAAATCAAAAGACTTTCAGCTAAACAAGTGTTCTCAAGGTAACATTTTAAACGTTTCACTTTGAGGACAAGTAACAGTCCACTTGTGAAACTTTTATACCATCTTTCTGATGACGGACAGGACATTGTGCCAACTCACAATGGGTCCCCAGGGCTGCTCTTACTTCTGAGGGTGGCTCCCGCGCCCATGAGGTTTGGGGGGGGGGGCGGGGAATTGGAGTGTTCAGAAAAGGGGACATAAAATCTCCAGCTGGTGGCCCCATAAAGAACCACAGGCATCTTGCCCTCCCCTCTCCTTTGATAGGTGAACAATACAAGGTCACATACCTAGAGTCAGTCACACAGCAAGTCATGAGAGAGGGGGGGGCAGCCACCCAGGGCCCTCGAGTCCTGTACTTAGAGTGAGGGCTCTGGCCAGAGGACCCCGGCACCACCCGCGCCAGGGCTGCCTCGGCCAAGTTCTTAGCCCCTCGGAGGCCCAGTTCCCTATGCGGTAAAAATAGTACCAACCTCAGAGGGCTGTTTGAAGAGCTTAATGCCATAATGCCCATCAAGTATTTAGCCTGTGTCTGGCACACTATATGTGGTCAATCAATACTAACGGCAGTTTTTATATGATAGCATTTAATTAGCATATGCTGCAGTGTTCATGAAATACTGGGAGAAATTAAAGTCAAACAGTATTTTACACAATAATAAAACAGCATGTTCTTTGACCAATAAAATACTCACAAAGAGCATTACAACACCTATTTTTTTAAAGAACACCAGAAACACCAGTTCTCAAAAATCAAGGGCTAAACTTTAATGTGCAAAGTGCTGATATCGAAGGGAGGCAATTACCCTTTTGACACATTTTGAAGAGGAATTTAGTTTTTAGCTGCTTCCATTATTTTGGCAAGGGTAAGGCTGCCTCGATCTTATGAAACAGCTTTATTGAAACCACAAAATTCACACATTCGAGGTGCAGAGCCTAGAATTTTTCAGCGTGTTCACAGAGCTGAGTAACCATCACCACAATCTAATTTTAGGACATTTTCATCACCCAAAAAGAAACCCCGTAGCCATTAGCCGTGAGTCATTCTGAACTCACACTGAAATAACATCATTCCCACTGGTTCTTGAAGGTTTTGGATTCTGAGAGGGCTCCTGGCCCGACCACCCGAGACCACGCCCGTTTCCTGGCTCGTTTCCTTTTGCTGCCTCTGGTTGGGACTTCTACCTGCACCCGCGGTTTCCCGCTGCCCCCGCCCCTGCCTTCTGCGCAGTCCTTTATCCCGTCGGAAGAGTTATAAGACTGACCTTTCAATGCTCACAATATCAATGTCATTTCCTCAATTATAGTCAGACTCAAGTCTGAGTTACTGCAGCTTTGCCAAGGTGTGTAAAAGGAAAACCATTCCGTGCAGGTTAATCACCACATCCACACGTTTATACCTCGGCCATAAAACACATTTATTGGTCAAAACTTTACAAACCGAGAACTCTTAAAAAGCACACAGCAACACATGACAATATAGAAAATGTAAAAATTCACCATCTCCTGTAAAGATTTTAACAAGTGATTATCTATTATTTCATAGTTCTGAATGCTCTAAAGGAGGAATCCTTGTAGATCAGTTTCTACTCTTTTTACTTAGAGAATTAAATTATTCCCTATAAACACCAGGACTGAAGGTCACAGTAATGTGGGAGAAATTTCAGTAGCAATTTTTGTTTACTATACCCCAAGAGAGGAAGGCATTCTTTTGGACTCACTGCATGTCTTGCAGGAAAAAAAAAAATCAAGACATCCCTACATCTCTAGCTAGATGTCATTACAATGGCAGGAGAAAAGTCAGCAGAAACCATAAAAATAGAACCAGAAGGGACCTTGACCATTCACTCCTAACTTGACGTACAGAGGAAGGAACTAAGTCCAGGTCCCTCAGCCTGTGAGTGGAAGACCAGATGCTAAAGGATTATTTGAAACAGAAGCCTGGAGAGTAGAAGAGTGGGACCCCTAGGTTCTCTGGTGGTCTTGCCATGACTGCCCCCCAACACTGCAGGGCTGAGAATCCAACCGGAAAGCCCTAGGCTCCACATTGGTTCTGGAAGTAGAGTTGGCGAGAATTACACAGCCCTGGGAATACAAGGAGGGTCAGGTTTATCTCTGAATTATCAAGAGAGCCTAAGATAATTCTTAACCAGAATCTAAGGGCTATAAAAATAAATACTATGTTAAAAAAAAAAAAACAAAAAAAAAGCTGTGGCAACCCAGCTGGATGAGACTGGAGCCAGGATGCACTCGGAGCTTGAGGCTGTCAACAATGTGGAAGAACCTCCACGTGCACCTTTGTCTGAATAACCAGGTTGCTTTGAGTTCATGATCAACGTGGCTGAGAGGGAAGATCCTTTGCAAGGTCCGTCGCCGTCCTGAGCACAGGCACCTCGCCTGGTCCTGCTGCTCTAATACAAAATGCTCTTGTGGCTAAGCCTGGTGTTGAAAACTTGGACTTGACCCACGATACATCACCAAAATAGCTCTTGCAAAAGGGGAAAATCAACAATGCGGTGTACTGGTCTCAAAACAGAAAACTGTTCTCAGTCCCAGTAAGACAGAGCTTGCTTGAGAGTTGTTAAGTCCCTTGCTTTAGGTGTATTTTAAATTATACTCTACTTTCTGCATACTTTTGTTTTATAGGGAAATTCCTGGGTTTAATAATCATGAAACAGAAGCATGTGCAGCTCAGTCCAGAGCAGAGGGATATGGACACGGAGTCGGTTCCCATCTGCATTCAGCTTCACTGGGATTCAACCACTTCCTCAGAAAAAGGCGTAACTAGACAGACTAGAAGGTCCCTTCTGGCTCTGAAATTTGGCTTCTGTGACATGATCCATCAAGTGGCCAGGTCAGTGGCATGAGTGTCCATTGAGAGATTGCTCCAGAGCCCAGATCAAAATGTGCACAAGCCAGGCCCTGCTACCGAGGAACTCATTGTCCCATGGGTTGGCTGTGGAGTGGGGAAAACCTCCTCACGTACGATATTAAGGCACCAAGCTGAAGGTATTTGGGGAGGATTCATGTCAAAAATCAAAATATAAAGTATTAGAGAAATCCTATTGTTGTTAATACAAACAGCTGCTTCCTAAAGAAACTGGAGCAACTAGTTGGTTATTTCAAAGCTGCCTTGTTTTCCTTTTTTAAAAAAGATGTATAAATTTTACTTGAAGGAGTTCTCCCAGCACCGCAAATAGACATTTTGTCACTTAGTATAAAACACAGAAGAGGAGAGCTAGCAATCCTGGACTACTGGCAGGAAAATCCAGTCAGTGAATTCCATCAACATTGTTTCTTGTCAGAGGAAGAGGTAGTCTGGAAGAGACATCAAGTTACAAAAGTACGGGCATCACGTCTAGATTCCACGCCCTGTGCTTCCCATGACAGAAATGTATCTTCTACTAACAATGGCGATTTCACTTTTAACCCTCTGCATACAATAAAGGCCCGCCCACCATCCCTGAAGTATATACATTTTGAATATTTTCACAGTGAAGGGTTTTTAGAAATCATACAGCAACCCTTACCCTGGTTCCCCATGGGACAGAGCAAAACTGGCTGGCCTTCCTGAGCCCTGAGGCTGCAACCTGCAATGTGCGCGAAACGAACTTAGCCAGACACAGACCACTTCGATACTTCCAGACGCCAGACACAGGAAATGACAGCCTGCACCCAGTATGCAAGGGAAACAGGAAAAAGAACTGTCCAAATCAAACAGGATAAATGCCCATTTTCTCAAGGCAATTATCCCTGTGTCTCTTCCAGTGTTCTGGGGTTATTGCTGTTGCTGTTTATTGTTTTGCTTTGCTGCTTCAATTTTAGGTGCAAGTGTATAGCAGATGAGAACCTTTAAACAGAGATCCCCATCAAACCACACGTGTGGATACCATACACGACCTACATGGGCACTGCAGCAAAAATTCAAATCAAAAATTCATTTGCAATTTGTAGGGCTCTGTGGAACTTGCAGCTGTGCTTTCAGTTTATGAGACGACTTCTGGCCCGGCAGGATTAAGCCCTCTGGAGACCCCGAGAGAAGAAGAGATGAACTCCCTAATATATGCACCTAACAGTAGAATTTTGCATATGCCAAAATTAAAGCTACTGATGTCTAGATTTTTTAAATGGCAGAATTCTAGGTAAATTCATCACAGCAGAACTTCTCGCATTCTTCAATGCCTCTGTTTTACTGCACCTGGGCTATAACTGTTTACTAAGCAATCCAGCTGATGCTGGGTGGGCAGCTTGGTCCTCTCACTCCCGACCATGAGGGTAAAAGCCATACCTTTGTGAAACTGTAAAACACTATGTCTCATAAGCTTTTAATAAACGCTGAAGGAAGGAAATTCGTGTGCTTTATAATAACTGAAAGGCCTTTGGTTGTGGTTATTTGGACCTCACAGTTACATTCTGAGAGCCTGAACTCTGACTAGCTGGAGTGTCATTTTATGTAAATGGTGCTCCTTTTCTATATATGTAGACCTATGAATATGTATGTATGTATGTATGTATGTATGTATTGAGTAAAAATAATTTATAGTCGAATTTCCTACATCTAGTAAAGCAAGTGTGTCTTATTCCCTGCTTTCTGCCAAAAAAAAAAAAAAATTGATTTAACTTCAAGGCCACGGTCAGTGGACTCCTGAATTGCTCAAACAATGTAAAGGCAACAGGATCTTGGCCACAAAACTTTATGAAGAACAATCGAGAAGGCTCCCTTTCTCCTGTGTGAGGCGCTTTCCTACTCAAGGCATTACTCAGCACGGTTTCACTCTGCTCTTGTGGAACCCAATTCTGGCTCTAGACCAGAGCTTGATGTTTTAAAAAACTAAAGGCCGACAGACATATTACCAAAAAGTGAGAACAACTTAGTGACGTACCCTCCAATACCTAGAGTGGAGGAGGTACAGAAGCAACACCCAGCAATGGAGGTTGTTTGGAAACTAGACATTTTTCTTACTTACCGAATAAATATTTAATGCTCAATGACTAATTATTAGAAATGTCCCTCTGACTTGTTCCTTACAAGCCAGCCTGCAGTACTGTCAATCACTGGCGTGGGACAATCGGATCTAGCCAGTTATCCCTTCTGAAAGTGGGCCTTGTCTTCTTCCAGGTTTCCTTGTATGGCAGAGCTTTAAAAATTCTTCACCTACAGCAAAGCTTGCGTGTTCCTCTGTAAATATGTTCATTTAATCATGTACTTATTTTGTGCCAACTAAGTGTCATGAGCTGACCCAGGCACAGGGAGACTTCAGGGCACAGAAGGGACAGGGTCTCTGCTCTCACAGACCTGGCACGCAGTTCCGGGGAAACTCACATAGCCCACGTTAGCTGAGAACTGGACAGAGCTCACCAGAGGGGGTGCTCTCTTTCATAGCTTCTCTTATTCAAAGAGGACATTGGGGAAGGAAATTAAAACCATTTTCTGTTACCATAAAAACCTTTTGCCATTTCAGTGTCCTAAAACATGTGCAAAAGTATGTCTTCCTCCTTGTCTATAGCCAACGAACATATTCCTAAGCAGATGACAAGCATGATTATTTCTAAGCACGAATAGAAATGAGGAGTCATGCTCTAAACCACATGGGATTCCATATGGTAGATTCATCCTACTTTGAAAACTGCATAAAAATTCTGCCCCATTCTATAAAAATGTGTTGGTTGACATGATCTAGTGGATCAAATGATCTAATGGCTCAAATAATCTAAGTCTTAAAAGTAACATCATTCACTAATAAAATGGTCTGTTCAAGTGAAAAAAAATAAATACATTACCTGTTCTAGCTCTGTATGGCAGATTATTTTACACACTACCTCCTACATGTTCCAGCGGTGCTGAGCAACAGCTAACACGCTTGGTGAAAACACCACCTGAAATTCTTGAGCTATTTAGCAAAAGGGTCTAATTATTTTTTGAAGCTGTCATGTTTTTTGAGGGCAAAATTCTAAACCATTTTTGAACCTGTAAAGTGATTTCACCTTCCTCAGTGAGGAAGAGGATTGAAAGACGCGCAGTGGTCTCCAACCCGATCCTCCCGTCACACGCTGCGTTCTTATTTAACACAGATACGCATCAACATCTGCCACTATAAATTATACTTCTCAGTTGCAAATTTGATTCCATAGCCAGGGGGAAAAAATAAGCTCATTTAAAGTATGTATTCTCGCACTGGGATGTCCTCTCGTCCTCCTGAACGCCTTCTGAGAGGACAGTTATCTAAAAACGACAGTCTCGTGCTCTGGAATACCATACTTCCCCTTGTGCTCCTCGAACAGCTTCCTCAGCTCCTCCATGTAGGTCTGATGCAGCTCCTCGATCTGCTCCGAGGTTGGGTGCAGAGTCTGGCAGACAGGGATTGGATGGCCAACTGCCGAAACAGAGAGTACAGTGGCGGGAAGGTTGAGACAAATGTATTTGAACACAAAATAAAAATTAAAAAAAAAAGAAACAGAGAGTACAGCAGACGTAAGAAATTGAACCCACCCCACCCCCAACTGCTGCCTCAATGGCCAGCCCCGGAAAGATCTCCCAAACAGGGTCCACCAGGCCTGCTAGCTTTGGGTCCCCTTTCACTTTCCTGGCTGCGGACAGTGGTCCCCCTATCCCATCTGGTGACAACTAAAGAACTTCCCTGCTCGTCAGACACTGGATTGTCAGTACCCTGGTGGTTTAGACTTGCAGTCAAGTGAGCCGCTGCGCTGCCTGCCGCTGTGGGGGGAGAGGCCACAGCTGTGCGTGGGCGCCACCAGCCTCCCTCCACGGAGACAGCTGACAGCCAGACCGCAGTCCCCCATTATCCCTGACTGTGAAATCTTGAATCATGAGGCATCAACCCTCTACCCTCTTTTCAATGCCATCCTAAAAAATTCTAAGCATGTGTGCCTCCATAGCTAAACATCTGTACTAGGAAACATACATAATCACAGGGATTCCATTGTTTGTCAGAGTGGGAAACAGAATCAACCAAAAGGTTCCACAGAAAAGTTACTAAATAAAAAATTGGAGATTCATTCAATGGGATCCTAGGCAGCAATTTTTTAAATTAAGTAATATTTTTGTAACTATGTATAGTGATGAAGTTAACTGGATTTATTGTGATCATTTTGCAATATATACAAATATCAAATCATTACATTGTACACCTGAAACTGACAGTATGTCAATTACACTTCAATTTTTTAAAAAAAATTTTAATAAATAAAAAAAAAAGAAATAATAGACAAATGTATTTAAAAAGTAAATAAATTAATAAAAAAAAAAATAAAATAAAAAAATGAAATAATATGTATGTATGTGTACACACAGATGTCTAAAATGTATTAAGTGGGGAAAAAAGTTGTAAAACAATCTCAGGATCTCATTTATAAAAAATATTATATGTCTATGTGCATTATAAGCTTTTTGTGTATTTAAAAAGCCTGGAAAGAGTGACTGATAACCATTATTTCAAGCAAGGAAGGAGAGATGAAATTTGCACTTTACCTGTATTGTGTAAATTTTCTACAATGAGAATACATATATATGTGTTTTACCTATATTATTAAAGATGAACTAACTAATTTTTTTAAAACCTGGTAACTTCCATATGCATTTTAATATGAATTTATATAATAAGTAAGTTACTTTAATCCCACTTGTCTCAGATTTTAGAGAACATAGGTGGGTACACATGGCCTTGGTCTCCTGGGTTCTTTCTGCTACTCACTACGCCCTCTGCTGGTCTAGTGCTGCTACCAATGCCAAGAGTTTAAAATACAAAGGATGTTGCACCGCCAGCTAGGCATCAAACTGCTTATTATTTTTGATTAGCTTGGGCATGAGGTCAAGTGGGGCTGTAGGTAATAGAATAGAACTCGTAGGGAAGGATGTCTCCTTTGGCTACCCTGAGTTGCCCCGTGCTACATCTAAAGCTTGAATCCATGGCAGTAACAGAACGTGGTTAGTTAGGGGGGAACCAAAGAGATGTATGTGTGTGTCTATAGATATACCCTCACTGCGACTTCTTCTCAAATTGCTAAATTTTTAACCATATATAGCCTCAAGAAGCTTGTGTACAGTTTTCATTCATAGTCTGGAGGTCAAAGTTCTATACAGTAAGCATCAGTCCTTTGTCATTCAACATGGAGAACTAGAAACCTAAGGGAGGTGGGGAGAGGTAGAAAAGCGTACAAGGGGATAAGTGGTGATGGAAGGAGAATTAATATACACCTGAAACTTACATAATTTTATTAACCAACATCACCCCCATAAATTCCATAGATTTAAAAAAAAGAATTTGGTAGTTACACAGCTGAAAAAATAAAGAACCAGAAACATAACGGTCCCTGTCTGTTGTGGTTGGAAACGTGCGCTGAGGCTAACGTGGCGCTCAGGCGAAGCGGGAGCTGGTGGGGCACAGGAACCACCAGGCGAGACCAGGCCTGGCACTGGCTTACCAGCAAGCACAGTGAGCTAGCAAGTGATGTCCTCCCTCGCCTGTGTTTTCACACGAATAGGACATGAGGGTACAATTAGGAAGATTTTGAAGCTTCCTTTCAGCTTGGAAGTTTGTTGTTGGAGGGTGTGGAGAAAAGAGAAACCTCCTTGTCAATCTACTAGTAAACTCCTGATTTCATAAGGAAATGCTTCTGTTTTCTTAGTGAAATTATCCCAAGGACAGAGGTCAAGTGCAGCTAGCTATTCAGGGTGGGAATGGGGGACCTATAAAGACACACAGTTGTCCAGGAAGATGAGGTGTGTTGTTCTCATCTTACTTTAATTAGGACTTGTGAGTTCTGAAGGTGAGTCTTATTTCCTATGAGCTATCTTACAGTTACCTTCAGTTCTGTTCAGTGCTATTGTTTATGTTTCAGATAGTTCTTCCAGAGAGCTCAAAGATGCCCATGTGTGTTAATCATCCTAGGAACTTTCCCTTTAAAGTGTGACACATAGTCATACTTGCCTTCTTTTATTTACATGTAGAGAATCTGCAAAGACGAAAGTTGCTAAACCGCACACACACACAAACAGAACCCCCTATTCTTGCCCCTCATTACAAAACTGACCCAGAATTAGATTGGATTAGAGTAAGAAACCTTTCTCAATTACTTCCTAAGGATCAAGACAGGGGTAACTAACAAAAATTAGCAAATCTGAGAAGGGTCCCCTGAGCCCTAAAAGACCACAGTTCTCTTCTCCACAAAAAGGAGATGTTTACTACCAAGGAGAAGAAAAAAATGTTTTCAACATAAAACTAAATTAGTGGCAAACTGCTAGATAATTCTCCTTTTCACAATCCCAAGGGAAAAACAGCTGCCCAGGGCTTCTTGGCAAGAGAACTCCCTGGCCTGGAAAAATCACCCACCATCTACTGGTGGCAGAGTCAGGAATCCGAGCTCTGTTCAGGTTTCAGTGCCCTTTGTAGCTGGCAGGCTCTCTTGGTCCCTTTCCAAGTCCATGCAACAATTCGAGGTTCGTTATGCATGACTGCTTTCCACAGCAGCCTCGCTCTAATTTCTAAGGTGCTGGGTTGCACGTATCAAAGACGAAGACCTAGCAACTTTGTGAGCCTTTGTATCTACCGCTGGAGAAAAATTTGGAAATGGGAATTATTTTCTTTCATGGAGGCAAAGAGGAGATCTTTGAGAAAAAGAAATCTTTGTTCTGCTTTTCTATAATTATGAAAATTCCACAGTTTATCTCTCTAATGCCCTCCTACAGGGATTGCTTTCTCTAGAAGCTACAGAGCCAGACATAAAAAAAGAACAGGCAGAGCCCTGGGTGTCAGAGTTAGTTTGCGAGGAGTCCAAACGTGGGTGCCAGATGAAGCCGGGGCATTGAAAGATGCCCAAAGTGAGTGTGTGTGGTGGTGTATCTATCCATGGACACACGTCACACACCATACACTCATGAACATTTATTGAGCACTTTATACGTCATACTGGGCACCACACTGATCCCCTTAACATTATGTATTTTAATCTGTGCAATTAAAATTGCAATTGAAGATTCTTCTTCCTTTCTATTTCAGAGAATCCTTTAGCATGATTTTTTCTCCCCTTATGAGGGCATAATAATGACTTGAAATATAATGGTCTACCTTTTTCCGCATGTGGTTTCAAACCAGTTTTATTTAGATAAAGTATGTCCTTTCCCTATCTCTTTTTATTTAAAAAAATTTTTCAAACCTATAGAAAAAATAACGCAATAATCACGTACATACCCTTCTGCTAGTCTCACCAATTTCGAACCTTTTGCAAACACATGTATATGAATTTCATATACGAGGGGGACCTAAGAAACCCTGGAATTATCTTCTGGAGGGCAGGCCCCTTGTAGTACAGGCTTCACCTGCTAAGTGAGTGTTCTAGGAACCCGTCTGTATCAGCGGACCAGATGTTGCTGTTGAAAGTCTGCGTTTGGCTTCAGTTTGTTTTTTTTAAAGGCCCTTTCATTGTGTTTGCCATTTCATGATGGGTGATTTATGAGCACACCTGCCCACACTGCGCTGAGTGTTCAGCAGTTCTAGACCAAAAACAGCGTGACCCCCATGTCCTCTCCTCCTTCCCTGTTCACCTGACCTTGTCCCACAAGACTGTGCTTTGTTTCCCCAGATGAAAAAGATCCTCAAAGGGAAACATTTTGCCGATGTGGAAGAGGTGAAACAAAAAATAGCAGAAGCACTAAAAGGCATCAAAATCGACAAGTTCAAAAACTGTTGAGCAGTGGAAAAAAGTCTTGACAGGTGTATTGCACCAAATGGAGAGTATTTTGAAGGCGACTGAAGTTTAAACGTGCAAAAAATAAATACACAATTTTTTAATAAATTCCCTTTTGGGGTCCCCCTTTGTATGTATACACATATGCATTATTATTTTTATTTTTGTAAAAGTTGCAATGATTCGATCATGTTAATCATCCCTATGGACTTCAGCATGTAAGAACAAAGACACTGTCCCACATAACAGGCCATTATTATACCCAAGGAACTGAACCTCTACCCCTTATTATTTTGTATTTAATCCACTTTCAAACGTGATCAACTGTCTCAGTTATACCCTTCATAGGTCCCCCCCCACCAGTCCACGACAGTTGCGTCTCTCTGAGCACTCACTCTCTCCTTCTGGCCTTTCACAATGCCGATCTTTTTGAAGAATCAAGATCAGTTCTTTGTACAAAGTCCTACAATCCGGATTTGTCTGATTACATCCTCATTATCTGATTCAGATTAACATTTGGGCAAGAATACTTGCTTACACAAGGCAACCGAAACATATCTGATAGCTGTCAACAATCTGGTCAGGAATCTACCTACTGCTCTGCAAACCCACCTGCATACACTCACCTGGCACTTGGATGCCACAGGGTGCTCCCCCTCAGATCACATCA